GTGTGTATGTATGCATATATACAACTGTGTGTAACTGTATGTATATATAGGCCAATATAGTTACTAAATACCAACTTTAAGTTAACACCTCATTTTTTATATATAAGCCTATTATAAAAAGTTTCATTATTAACAGATTAGCCTTATATGTTGCGCTTGAAAATCGATTAACGGTGTTAGAATATGGTATTCTAAGCACCATTACACTAACCAAACCAACCAGAAAAAAAGTAATAAAAAGCATAATGATCTAAGATTATTATTATTTTACAATGAATTGAATATTAGAATTCCATTAACTCTCTAAATTACTGTGGGCGGTCGTTGTCTATAACTGCATGACCTGACCCAACGCCTCAGTACCGACTTGATAAACTAAGCGCCAGTAAGTTCATAGACTCGCGGTTATAGACAATGGACATCGACAAACCGTCCTCAATTCCAAAGATATCATGTCAAAATATGAGACGAAAACGTTAGATATCACCGACTAAAAAGAATTTTCTTTCACCAAATGTATTGTTGATGTCGGCCTGGAGCATTTCAAAAGAGGATTTGAAGAAGAACCTAACTGTCTGTGCGTCATTAACTGAGCAGTTTTCATTCAATCCTGTCATTAAGAAAGCAAGAACGATTTCGATGGCGATTTAAGGCGCATTATCAGAGCTATCAACTTGTCAAAGGCGTAATGAATTCAACGCTTCAACGAAAATCAAACGACCGTCCACCTTGCCTTATTTGGCTCAAGATCTTTTGCAATGAAATTGATGCATCGCTATATCAACCTGTATTAGCTATCACACAAAGCAACAACATACTAAAAAAAGAAAAAAAGAATTAGTGTTTCTTAGTCTGCTTGTTTCGTCAATAATCGTTTGTAAATAAAGGCTCCAACTCTACCGAGAATTCCCGGGTACGTCTTAACTCGCTTCTGTAAAAAAGTTTTCCATAAGGCCTAATGACTTTTAAACAGTGTCCCTTGTTGATTCAATAATGCGTATTCACTTGTACAATATACCTATTATTTTGCTCGTGAAAAGATCATTCATCGGAAGAGGGAGTGATGTTGTAGAAACTGCTTGGAGAGGTGCGTGCATATGCGTAATTTGTGCCGACCAATGACGGCACTACGAAAGTAGCATCAACTTGTTACGAGTTGCTAAATGGGCCGTGCTCTCGACGCTTCGGCTTCAACATCGTTTGAAATCAAGTACTTACCAGCATTGCTCTTCAAACGTCTAAGCGACGATAATTCTTCACAGCAAGGTTTCTAAACACAGTCATTCGAACATTTCACAGTTCTGCCTACTCTTCATTACGGGATTATTTTGTACCAAGACAATACAAGCGAGTTTTTGATAACGTTTTAGCAAAGAAACCAACATGGAAATGCCTTCGGTTTCGAATTCTGGATCGAATGTCACGGCGGTAAACACGAATTGTATGGACGTTACGGTAACTGATAGTGTGTTTTACGATAGGACCGACAAAATTATCATCACCGTGATTATGCCGACTATACTTATTATTGGTCTAATGGGTAACGTAACTTTTCTTGTTGTTGTAACTCTTGTCCAGAGAATGAGGACCATAACAAATCTTTATCTACAAAGTTTAGCTGTTTCCGATATTATATTTCTTATAGTAGCTATCGGAGAAAAATTATGGCGGTATCTGTCGTCACCCTACGTCGATGACCAGTCGATGATGGGACAAATTGGGTGCATTGTTGTATATTTTATTACAGATATGACGTTTTATTCGTCAGTTTTCCTTGTCACGTTAGCGGCCGTAGAACGATTTTATGCCATTTGTCGCCCGTTGAAACATCGAATGAAAATCGGGGCTAAGGAACGAACTATTCGGCTTATTGCATCTGCTTGGGTGCTTGCATTTTGTCTATCTATGTTAGTATCGCCCAGCAATTGGGGAAACAAATCATACTGTTTATGGTGGATATCAAACGGGACGAACTCGCCATCATCATCGGAGTCCTTCCCATCGGAAAATGATCCGTATTATCATAACGGACGAATGTTCCAATGCACTGGTATTACTCCCTGGTATGTCAGTTTCGGAGCTTGTGTTCAAACACTTCCATTCTTCACGGCATTTATTGCAAACTGTACATTATATTACAACATTATACACAGTTTGAATCGACGCGTTGGCACTGCTGACCGCCAGCGGCCGAACACAAAGAACTTACGAATCCGCAATCAAGTGGCACGGATGCTCATTGTCAATGGTTTAGTTTTCTTTATTTGTCTGGCGCCGTTTGAAATTCTTTCGCTGGTCGTTACGAGCGAAACTATCACCAACATAGTCGTGTTGACGCAGGAGCAATATAATATGTGGGGTGAGTTCGCCCGTCTCATGCTGTACGTTAATTCCGCCGTCAACCCGATCGTATACAACTTAATGAGTAAGCGATATCGCCAGGCGTACTGCGACGCACTTAAATGCCACGTAAGGCGCAAATTGTTCCGAACGAACTCGGAAGATTCGGGATCCAAGAAGAACGGTAGAAACACGTTGACAGTCACACACCAACTTCATAATCTATTAACTACCGCCACTTGAACCCTTCCGCGTCCATTTGTACATTCACCCGTAGGCCTACTTAAATTACAGACTCTCGTTAGGCCTTTAGTAAAATGAGAGTAATATAGACAGTCCGCATAATTGAACGGATTTTGAGTGATTCAACCTACCGATTTGTACATAAAATTTAATTATGTAATGTAAATAAAATAAGCAATCTATCAAATAGACGTTTTTATAATGCCTATTACATTCGGTATTTTTTATAATGAGAAAATGTGAGCAAAATATGATTTTTGGCACAGAAAGGTTTCATGAAATCGATTTAATAGCACAATGTATATTGTTGTCAAAACTAGTGTACGTATTCTATTACTGTAATTAAAAACCAAGTCAAAATAAAAACTATAATACTGCGGGCAGGTGGTGTAAAAGGCTCTCTCTTCGTTATTAATCCCCAAGCCAGGTATCTTACTAATATAATTGCAATGGAGAATAGATGCTAAGCACAGACAACAGCTGACGTGGCTTTGTGGTATGTGAATGGATTCTATACTTTGATGTATAAAACACTAGACTATTAATGTAAACGTGCATGATCACTCTAATGGGCTGGCATCACTGGTCACATTCGCGTTTACGTAGGCCTGCAATTATTATTTAGGCCTATAATGACACGAGCATTATTAGCGATAATGGCCCTAGTAGAGGATGTGGGCCTAAATAGTCAGAAGGACGGACGGGAATGGGGAATCTAAAGAAAACATTATTAAGTGTTTTCAATTTGATTATATTAGATAATGTTGAACATGGTATATTATAAGTACTAAATTGTTAATACTGTATATTATTATTATTATCATCATCATCATCATCATAATCATCTTCATAAATATATGAACATCATCGTGGCGGTAGTAGTATAGTAAGTAGCAGTAAGCAGCAGGTAGTAGTAGTAGTAGTAGTAGTGGTGGTGGTGGTGGTGGTGGTGGTAGAGTACCGGTAGGAGTAGTAGAGTAGAAGTTGTAGCATATGTAGAACAGTAGCAGCAGCTGCCTCAGTAATTAATACAATTTAGATGTAGTAGTACTGTATATATAGCCCTGGTTCTTAATTAATTAATTAATTTTAAGAATCAAATACTTTTTAGAGTTTCAATGGCCAAACATAATCAAGTTTACTTGTTATACTTTGTAGACCTAAATTGAAATTCTGAAATGCTGTGGCGGAAGCCGCCTGTTGGCCACACAGACCTACTTTAAAAATTTTTTGGATATTTCAATGCCCTCGGGCCGTCTACTAAGAACCAGGGGTATATATTAGTAGTAATAGTAGTAGTAGTAGTAGTAGTAGTGGTAGTAGTAGTAGTAGTAGTAGTAGTAGTAGTAGTAGTAGTAGTAGTAGTAGTAGTAGTAGCAGTAGTAGTAATAGTAGTAGTAACAGTAGGAGTAGGAGTAATAGCAGTAGTAATATGTAATTGTAGGAATAGTGTTAGTCGTAATAATAGTAGCAGTATAAGTAGTATTCAGGGGTGAATCCGGTAGCTGGAACGGGGGGCTACGTGCCCCCCCCCCCCCCCCCACCCTTTTGCCACTAAATTTTAAATTTTCGAGGCATATATTGAATTGGCGCTCTCACTTATCTATCCTGGATATGTTGTGCACCACCTCTATTGAAAAATTCTGGTTCCACCCCTGGTATTAACATATGAAAATGAGTGTTAAACCGAGTAGAGTGACTTAAAGATTAGCAATTTATTTGTAGTCGCATCACTCCCCTTTTATGTTCGTTTATAGAGTCTGTGGATATCTTGATATAGGCGAAATATTGTCATTAACTTTATACCATGTGATGTATACACATTGTTTATCTGATTGTCAATGAACTATGGTTACTGTGCGTTATAATATTGTAAATGTTTTATGTTAATAAGGTAAATATATAAATTATAATCATTACTGTCAGGTTGTTATAATAATCTTGCTATAATCTATTCAATATATAATATTCTTACATCTATTATAATTCAATATTTAAAATATTTATTGATCCATTTCTAAATGATGATGATGATCAAATGAATGATGATATTTGACACTTTAGAAATAAATAATATTATTATTCAAAAAAGTACTGCCAACCCATGTTTTACTTTAAGCCCTGTTCACATTTTATTTGATAAAAACATGTGACATGCCTAAATATGGTCATGATGACATCACATCATGACCATATATAGGCGTATCATGACTATATATGGGCAAACACCAGTTTTTGTCAAAGAAAATTTGATAGTCTGGAAGTTTTCAGTATAAATAGTGTTTTAACAATTTAATTGGCCAATGTAGTTTATAGGACATTATTACATTATTATTATATTATATTTAAATATAGTTTGTTTATCATATATAGGGCGCACTCCAATTTGAGTTTCTAATTTAATTTCGAGACTTTTTCAAAGAACAAAATAACAACCTTCAATCTTTTAACACAAATCTAACCCTCCAACTGGAGACCAACTTCCAAGACACCCCAAATATTCACGCCCCAAAGGCGGTCTCGAATTGGAGGACCAGTCGTACTATAATAATATAACGTACAGAATGAATAAATTGAACTTTTGTGGTTTTAATAAACACAGAATTTAATTGAGGCTCGATTATGCACTGAAATATATGGATTGTAATACAATAACTTATATAGTTAATTTGTCTTTATGTTGATTTTACTCTACATAGACTTCTCGTGTATAAATAAATACTATACAATACCTGTCTCTTATACACATCTAGATGTGTATAAGAGACAGTAGATGTGTATAAGAGACAGATATATATGTATAATACCACAGTAATACTCAGTAAAATTGATTCATATATCTACATATGCCTATAATTTTATACTATAATCATTATATTAAAGATTACAGTTAATCTATTGAGATGAACCTCAATGGTATACTAATTCGAATATCTAGACCTACACCTCGTCGGTTACACACACATAACATATTACACATCACCAACTAACTGGGCCTAATTTGGGAGGGACCAGTAAGAGTGGTGATGTAAGATTCATAACACACAAATAAACATAAATTTTTATTATTCACGAAGGTATGGTTATTACACCCCAATGGTATAATAATTGGAACATCTAGGCCTACACCTCTAGATGTGTGACACTCTAGAACAGTTGGTGCTTTCAAAAAATAAAGAGATCCATTATATATTCAATACTAAACAGATCAAATAACGGAATCAGTACATTCGAACACTTTAGTTAGTAGTTCAAAAAAACAAAAAAGAACCAATGTTAAGATCACAAATTACAAGGCCCGAGTTAACATACGAGTTGTTGTAATTATTCGTTTTCAACTCTTTGAGACATTTTCTAGACCACATTTTTCAAACCGAAAATTCTTTACGTCTCAGTCACACGGACGCACGTATCACACTAATGCTGTGTTAAAGTTGAAAAAATGTGGGACAACGGGCGGGGTACTTATAAACCAACGTGAGGACTACCCCACGAGAGTCGTATTCTTCTTTTCGTTTCATTTCGCTCCGGTATCTTATCCGGTGTGGTAGGCCTTTTATTCAAAAGAGTGTTGATTGACGGTGGATGTGTCTACTAAATGAAAATTAAACACATATTGTGAGGCCGTGGAGTGTGATATAGATTCACACATGGTTCAAATAGACAGCATATTATCAGTTTATCAAGAGATATTTATGTAAAGATTATAACGTGATGAATGATGATTGAATATATCGAAATTGAAACGAAATACTCCCCTTTGTAAATTCAAATAATGCTGACTTTCAATTTGACATTAGAGTAAAAAAAAATACCATTTCTATATTCTCTGCACAAACCCTTTACATGACTGGTTCAATTCAATGAGTGTTTAATAGTATATGATTTATTGAAATCTTAATTGTTTTGATTTGTGACTAAGTTATGTTTGGTTTCCATACAATCGCTACATCCTATCGCCAACAGCTTTCGGTGATGCTGATTGGTCGGTAGAATTGAGGAGCTTTCCCCATTACGTTGGCAACTGCACTGAAAACACTGTAGCGACAGCGTAGCAATTGTATGGAAACCAAGCTTTAACATGATCCATATTGTCATTGTGGTAAGGACCATACCATATTTCACTTGTAGATATGTTTCATATGTTATTGTTTATGTGAATCCGTCTTTATAGACCTTTCCAAAGTGCAATTCAAACCTAACCATAGACAAATGAGGGCAGGGCCAGAAATACGCGCATGTCCCAAAAACATGTAAGTTTGCGTACGTTAAGATGTGGTTATGCGGGAATAGCAACATTACTGCAGAGGCGCAGCTTAGCGTCACTATTTGAGAATAATATCAAATTACAGAATATATAGATGAATTCCGCGTGCTGATAATATTGATGAGCACTCGTTATGATCTTATTTATGATCAGTTTTTAGAATGAAACTGAATGTTGTGAAAGTAATTATTACAAAAGGGCAATTCTAATTTTATGTAATTACTTTATGCATTCAAAAACAATGAAATGGGTAGTTATTGTTGTGAAATTGTGTATTTTCTTCAAATTAAAATGATATAATGATCTCATATGGCCGTACCTTAATTTAAACATGCGTGGTTTGGGAATTGATTTGATTGCATTTCGTGTATTTTGGTCAAAATCTTGTCAATAATTTCCCGGTTCAATATCCTGCTGATTATCGGCGGGGCTTGAACGTCACAACGTTCATCCATTGTCTGGATTCATACTTAATATAAAAATTGAGATTAGGTTAAGATCGCTGTGAGATTACGAAAGTTCAATGTAGAAGTAGTAAAGCATCGTCAAAAGTTTTCCTCAGCTATAAACAACGATTGGAATAAGTAGTTTACCATGCCATATTTTTTATATTGTTTATGCCGCCTTCAAACACACAAGCAAAACCACAGACTGGAGAACGAACCATAACAACGAGGATAATTTAGAGGGACTCACACACCTAAACAAGTTTTTCAGTACAAAGTTTAAAACAAATCAAGCCAAACTGAGTATTAGTGAAATTCCAACGGACCTTTTCGGAGTGTCGATCTAGCTTAACAACTGACCAATCAAAACAGCTGGACCACGTACGTGCGCGTATAACAAGCAGACGTGTTGTCCCACAAACGCACGTTTGATTGATATGATTTATTTGCATCCTTCAAAAACATACAAACATAAAATCATCTACAATGTAAAAAGAATATTAAAAATATTTAATTTAAATCGTTTGTTAAAAATATTAAAAATTCATGTTATTGCTAAAAAAAAAAGATCAACAATTCAAGAAAAAATCAAACCGACAAGAACAAGCATCATTGTTTTAAAGGCAATAAAAACAACAAAAAGAAAAAAAATAAAGCATAAAAGAGCAGGAACAAAAACAACATGAGATGCAAGGATAGTCCATGAATGTCTGGTTCTCAACAGGGAAACAGACAACAAGAACGAACAAAAAAAAAATAAATTACAATACAATACAATAGAACCCAGTGCAATAGAAGCCTTTAACTCTGCAGTGCCCTATCCTTAGAGGCGGACACACACTGCGCCCGAAAGTCGTCGGCCGACACGATTCTATGAAGGACGCAACGCGACGACGCACGCGCACGCGCAACGGATCGTTTTTAATGACGATCCGTTCAGACTGCCACCGGCAATCAGCAGATATCGTCGCGTCGTCTGACGCTCACAGGGAGCGTCCGTCGTACAAGCAGTAAGTGCCCGGCTTAAGATGTTCCTTACTGTGCTTGCGTTTGCCAATGTTTTAACCTGAGACAACTATACACATGCATAGTTCTCTCAGGTTTTAACGCTGTCGTTTCGTGGGACCTTAGCAACAATATCCAAGGGGCGGGGCTTAGTGGAAAGGTCCATTTCGGTCAAATTCAAAAACTTTTAACATATCAATAAAAAAATATGCATTTAATTACTTCTCTTAAAGATATCTTATCACGTACTGTCGTTAGGAATACAGTAAAATTCTAAATTGCCGCGTACCGTTACCTCATAATACATATTACGCGCTATAAGATGCGACTGCAAAAGTAGATTGGTAAAATATTCTGATAAAAAGAAAGAAATACAATAAACAATAAATACCATTTCATTCCACAGAATAATAATTCAATTCTTTTTCTTTTGAGTTTTTTTATTTGTATTTTTTCTTTAAAAATATTTTCAAAAACAATCAATATATGGATCATTTAAAGCTTGGTTTCCATGCAATCGCTACACTGTCGCTACAGTGTTTTCAGTGCAATCGTTGTACATGTACTGCAAAACAGTCCCCAACACAATCGGGAAGGTTCCCCAATTCGACCGACCAATCCGTATCACCGAAAGCTGTCCCCGTAATAGTATATAGCGATTGTATGGAAACCAAACTTAACACACCTTCTGAAGTCGTTTTGTGTTTAGTATTACTAGCGCTTTGAGAATTTGTTTGCACACTATAGCAAGTTCATAATACATTACCCGTTCTTTCTAAGTAATCGAGGCTTCGAAATTTCACATTTGTTCTATTTGATAACCTGATTTCTTACTTCATAAGCCTTGAAAACGTAAATACCTATTTTTGTGTTTTCACATTTAGAAGTAGGTTAAGTCAGAAGTGTGAAATATACATTACTTTACGTTGTTAAAACGAACAATACTTTTGTTAATTTATTGGTAATGTGGACAAAGTGAAAACAGCTTCCTTTATCGAATACTATCCTATTATTTTTCAATACATTTCTTTATTAAATTTTCATTTAAGAAAAATGTATATGCTGTCTAATTTGATTGAATTTAATTATTTACCTTTCTTTATTAAAATTTAACTCTAAATATATGCAAATTCTATCTAATATATTTGTTATTAACACATTAGGCCTAGACAGCAAAGAGCCAAACAACGCAAGAGTCAGATAGAGGATATGCAGACGCCACGTCTTTTGACTGAAGCACGTAGATGCCTTTTAAATGTCTACCTTTTTTGTAAACACATTGTGGATTCCTCTAAACGTTCATAAAAATATTTCTTGATTGACTTCCTAGTAAATCAGTTTGTAAAAAACGTTAGGATTTTACACTATACACGTTGATAAACGATTCTTTTTCTGTGTAATCTTCCACAAATTATAATTAATCACTGAATGAACCAGCTAAGCAATCCGGTTTCTGCTTCGCAATGCTACTCTCTGCCTCGCATTAATGTCATTGATCTTCTCGTCGATGGATAGTTAGTTCACCCCTCTAGCTTTTACGAGCCTAGATTATACCGCAGGGACGAGTTATAAAAACATATGTTAGTGTGAATTGTAATGTTTATTCACACAAAGCGAACCATTCACATTTTTCACTGGTTTCAAGCAAAATGTAAAATACAAGTAACTGTGACTAACCTAAATAAATACACCAGTAAAGCTTTGCTCATTGTTTTTATTTTTTTGCCGACACATTTTTCAAATATACAAAATTATAATTATTACTGCAGTATATTACTGTATATTATAGAGGGTATTACATAGTCACACCTACTGCGAACAAGGTACAGATAAGATTTGTTGGTTTTCTATTTTTTTAAAATAAAAACCTCAATCGACATTTTACCTCAGCCCCAACTTGTTTT